GCAGAGATCTAGGGAACTCACCATCACGTAGAGCTCTCTGAGTCTGTAGTAGAGGGTTCTACAGGAGAGGCAGCCAAAACGGAGGTAGGGACTCAGGCCTGTGGGACTGGCCATCAGGGAAGACACACTGATTCTCGGACGCTCCAAGTTCACCATCCAGCCCTAGGGACCGAGCAAAGAATCATGGGTAATGTAGTCATCAGCAATAGGTGTTAGTTGTAGGATATTGAGTTTAGCTCCAGTGGTCTGGATAGATGTATGAATGTTAGAACAGCATTGATGGTTTTTGTTTGATGTTTTGTATGGTAGGGTTCATAGGTCACCCACAATAAAGATGAACATGAGGTTGAACTTGACGTAGGGCAGACATTCACATTGGGAGTGCCAAAGAGGGAAGAACTTATTCCACAGGCTCTTCTAGAATTCTAAGTGAGGCGGTGGAACATCCATCAGCGTATTGATCAGTTAGGTCCACACGTGACTAGTCATGATTGCAAATTAGCGATCACACTATGTAGGTCTACTAAAACATACTGTAGGTTGATCACTAGGCAAAGTACTTGAATAAGCATCCACACTAACATTATCTTCAGTGTTTGTGATGGAGGTGGCCAGGGAGTCCTGGCCGGCCGGTCACTATGCCAGGCCTGGATACACCCAGATCAGGTGACTCACCTTTTGGTCCATGTGATAGTTCAGTCTCTCCAGTGCCTCAGTCTCCCCGCCCCTCCACGCAGCAGGACCCAAGCCGTGAGTCTTAAAACCTGCCCGATATTTTTTGTTGTTGTCAAATTCATTCCTTCATTCACAATTAAATCCACTTATCACTATCAGACCATGATGAGAGATACCAACACATACACACCCCAGGCAGGCGCGCACACACACACACACACACACACGAGTGCCTCACCTAGTTCCTCGAGGGAGGGCACTCTGTAACGCTCGTCGTGATTGGCAGCGACGCATGTCTGGCAGCAGTCCATCTGTTGCCGGGTGACAGTGGGGAGGGGCTTCTTGGGCAGCTCCAGCCGCTGGACGACGGCCTGGAAGCGCTTGAAGGTCAACGGGGGCATGTTGTTGTTCATCTCAATGATCCTAGAACAGTGAAACCACAGGTGTTCACTAACCAGGTCGTATTCATTAGCTACCAAATGGAAGAAAATGGACTGAAACAGGGAGGGACTACCTAAACTTTCCATTGCACAAGTTTTGCTACAGTATTTGGCTACGGTGTGCTTTAATTAATACGATCCTACAGTAGTTCGGCTAGGAATAATAATTTGATAATCAGTTGCAAATTGATGAAGTATTGTCTGCTCTGTGGCAGAGCCAATGGGTAGCCTGTATAGCAAACCACCAATCATGTGAGGTACTGCTTCATTACGCTGAGCTGCTGATGTAACTTTTTCAAAGCAAAGCCCTCGTCTGGATTAGATTTTTTTCATCAGTTTTGAACAAAAGGCCACATCCTGGATTCATAAGAAGGGGAGAGACCAGAGTCTGTTCCTGTGAGGAGAGGGAGAGACCAGAGTCTGTTCCTGTAAGGAGAGGGAGAGGCCAGAGTCTGTTCCTGTAAGGAGAGGGAGAGACCAGAGTCTGTTCCTGTAAGGAGAGGGAGAGACCAGAGTCTGTTCCTATAAGGAGAGGGAGAGACCAGAGTCTGTTCCTATAAGGAGAGGGAGAGACCAGAGTCTGTTCCTGTAAGGAGCGGGAGAGACCAGAGTCTGTTCCTGTAAGGAGAGGGATAGACCAGAGTCTGTTCCTGTAAGGAGAGGGAGAGACCAGAGTCTGTTCCTGTAAGGAGAGGGAGAGACCAGAGTCTGTTCCTGTAAGGAGTGGGAGAGACCAGAGTCTGTTCCTGTAAGGAGAGGGAGAGACCAGAGTCTGTTCCTATAAGGAGAGGGATAGACCAGAGTCTGTTCCTATAAGGAGAGGGATAGACCAGAGTCTGTTCCTGTAAGGAGAGGGAGAGACCAGAGTCTGTTCCTGTAAGGAGAGGGAGAGACCAGAGTCTGTTCCTGTAAGGAGAGGGAGAGACCAGAGTCTGTTCCTGTAAGGAGAGGGAGAGACCAGAGTCTGTTCCTGTAAGGAGAGGGAGAGACCAGAGTCTGTTCCTGTAAGGAGAGGGAGAGACCATAGTCTGTTCCTGTAAGGAGAGGGAGAGACCATAGTATGTTCCTATAAGGAGAGGGAGAGACCAGAGTCTGTTCCTGTAAGGAGAGGGATAGACCAGAGTCTGTTCCTATAAGGAGGGGGAGAGACCAGAGTCTGTTCCTATAAGGAGAGGGAGAGACCAGAGTCTGTTCCTATAAGGAGAGGGAGAGACCAGAGTATGTTCCTGTGAGGAGAGGGAGAGACCAGAGTCTGTTCCTGTGAGGAGAGGGAGAGACCAGAGTCTGTTCCTATAAGGAGAGGGAGAGACCAGAGTCTGTTCCTGTGAGGAGAGGGAGAGACCAGAGTCTGTTCCTATGAGAAGAGGGAGAGACCAGAGTCTGTTCCTATGAGAAGAGGGAGAGACCAGAGTCTGTTCCTATAAGGAGAGGGAGAGACCAGAGTCTGTTCCTGTAAGGAGAGGGAGAGACCAGAGTCTGTTCCTGTAAGGAGAGGGAGAGACCAGAGTCTGTTCCTGTAAGGAGAGGGATAGACCAGAGTCTGTTCCTATAAGGAGAGGGAGAGACCAGAGTCTGTTCCTGTGAGGAGAGGGAGAGACCAGAGTCTGTTCCTATAAGGAGAGGGAGAGACCAGAGTCTGTTCCTATAAGGAGAGGGAGAGACCAGAGTCTGTTCCTATAAGGAGAGGGAGAGACCAGAGTCTGTTCCTATAAGGAGAGGGAGAGACCAGAGTCTGTTCCTGTAAGGAGAGGGATAGACCAGAGTCTGTTCCTATAAGGAGAGGGAGAGACCAGAGTCTGTTCCTATAAGGAGAGGGAGAGACCAGAGTCTGTTCCTGTAAGGAGAGGGAGAGACCAGAGTCTGTTCCTGTAAGGAGAGGGAGAGACCAGAGTCTGTTCCTGTAAGGAGAGGGATAGACCATAGTCTGTTCCTATAAGGAGAGGGAGAGACCAGAGTCTGTTCCTGTGAGGAGAGGGAGAGACCAGAGTCTGTTCCTATAAGGAGAGGGAGAGACCAGAGTCTGTTCCTGTGAGGAGAGGGAGAGACCAGAGTCTGTTCCTATAAGGAGAGGGAGAGACCAGAGTCTGTTCCTGTAAGGAGACGGGATAGACCAGAGTCTGTTCCTTTGAGGAGAGGGAGAGACCAGAGTCTGTTCCTGTAAGGAGAGGGAGAGACCAGAGTCTGTTCCTATAGGGAGAGGGAGAGACCAGAGTCTGTTCCTGTAAGGAGAGGGATAGACCAGAGTCTGTTCCTATAAGGAGAGGGATAGACCAGAGTCTGTTCCTATAAGGAGAGGGAGAGACCAGAGTCTGTTCCTGTAAGGAGAGGGATAGACCATAGTCTGTTCCTATAAGGAGAGGGAGAGACCAGAGTCTGTTCCTGTGAGGAGAGGGAGAGACCAGAGTCTGTTCCTATAAGGAGAGGGAGAGACCAGAGTCTGTTCCTGTGAGGAGAGGGAGAGACCAGAGTCTGTTCCTATAAGGAGAGGGAGAGACCAGAGTCTGTTCCTGTCTTTCACAGATATAGATTAACAGTTGCTTCATTTTAGGAGTATTTCCTTGCATCTGGCATCTCAGCCCCTGCCACGTCATCAATCCTTCACAGAGCCACAATGGCAGCCAAGGGTTATAATGAAACCCAGAGGGGAACCATTCGTAAACAGACAGTCCTGATCCGAGGACAGGATGTTCGGGGGAGGGAATCAAGCGTGCACACAGACACACGAGAGGGAAACGTTTTCTAACCAACGTGTTGTTTACCTCAGTACAACAGACGCAGCATGTGCTGTGCCAGTGTGTCATCACAGTTAATACCCAAGTCTGCATCACTGAAGGTCACAGTCTTCTAATTAGCCCAGCGGCACGGCTGCAGCAGCAGACTAGCATTTACAAGTCAACATAATTCAGGACATTCAGATTACTAATAGCTGTGCCTGGGACATCTAAAAAGCTTACCTAGAAAATGTAATCCTGGTAATCTATCATAGGTCTTTTGGGGGGACTTGGATGGCTTGTAGGCTTTCTGCAAGGTACGTGATAAATTAGTGATGTTCTTCTGAGACACTAATAGAAATCAACCTTTGAAAAAACAACCGTTTTGAGCAGTGTGTATTTATGAGAGGCTCTGCATGGTCAATCTGACATCTGCATTGGCCGTGCAGTATTTACTGTGATATGGCCTCTGCAGAAGTCAGGGCATTCATATGTATTTACTGTGATATGGCCTCTGCAGAAGTCAGGGCATTCATATGTATTTACTGTGATATGGCCTCTGCACAAGTCAGGGCATTCATATGTATTTACTGTGATATGGCCTCTGCACAAGTCAGGGCATTCATATGTATTTACTGTGATATGGCCTCTGCACAAGTCAGGGCATTCATATGTATTTACTGTGATATGGCCTCTGCAGAAGTCAGGGCATTCATATGTATTTACTGTGATATGGCCTCTGCACAAGTCAGGGCATTCATATGTATTTACTGTGATATGGCCTCTGCAGAAGTCAGGGCATTCATAAGTATTTACTGTGATATGGCCTCTGCAGAAGTCAGGGCATTCATAAGTATTTACTGTGATATGGCCTCTGCAGAAGTCAGGGCATTCGTAGTTTTTGTGCTTCGCCGAGCAGAAAGAAAAAAAAAAAAGAAGAGAAAAACAGACTGAAAGATATTGGGCTATAGTTAGAGTGGGAACACTGTGCACCGCTCTCTCTATCAGGACAGAGCCTCCTTGTCTGGCGCTAGGCCATGGCTGACTGCTGCAGAGCTCCCCTCAGCACATGCTGTGTAGTGTGACGGTGATATCATCTCACAACCAACAGGGGACAGCAAACCCTGGGAGGAAATGATCAGGCGTGAGACTGTAATTGACCGTGTGTGCTTGTTCTGGATCAACAGGTAAGACAAAAAGACATCATGTGGAGGTTGTTGTTTTTTTGCGGGGGGGGGGGGGGTCTCCCTTCAAGTCAAGAGAAGTAAATCTTCCCCTCTCTATCTGTCTTCTCTCATCTAACCTTTTCCCATTTGGGCTGGGAATTGCCAGGGACCTCACAATATTATTATGATACCATATGTATTGGTATTCTCATGATTCTATATGTATTGCGATTCGAATAGTGCGATTTTATGTTCCAAACATATTGCTCACCGTATGTCTGCTGCAGAGAGACTAGAGAGAGCATGAGAAAACTAAAATTGGCTCACCATTTTAGATCGAGAACAAGCGATAGGATGAAAAATACCAGAGTTTTGGCACAGGTACAGCCGACTAGCGCTAGCTAACGCTACCTACAGTAGCAAAGGAAACAATTAAAATATATACATGTACCAGTCAAAAGTTTGGACACACCTAATCATTCAAGGGTTTTTCTTTATTTGTACTATTTTCTACATTGTAGAATATAGTGAAGACATCAAAACTATGAAATAACACATATGGAATCATGTAGTAACCCCCCAAAAAATTTAAACAAATAAAAATTTAAATGTTGATTCTTCAAAGTAGCCACCCTTTGCCTTGATGACATCTCTTGGCATTCTTTCAACCAGCTTCATGAGGAATGCTTTTCCAACAGTCTTGAAGGTGTTCCCACATATGCTGAGCACTTGTTGGCTGCTTTTCCTTCACTCTGCAGTCCAACTCATCCCAAACCATCTCAATTTGGTTGAGGTTGGGTGATTGTGGAGGCCAGGTCATCTGATGCAGCACTCCATCACTCTCCTTCTGGGTAAAATAGCCCTTACACAGCCTGGAGGTGTGTTTTGGGTCATTGTCCTGTTGAAAAACAAATGATAGTCCCACTAAGCCCAAACCAGATGGGATGGCGTATCGCTGCAGAATGCTGTGGTAGCCATGCTGGTTAAGTGTACCTTGAATTCTAAATAAATCACAGACAGTGTCACCAGCAAAGCACCCCCACAATATCACACCTCCTCCTCCATGCTTTACGGTGGGAACCACACATGCGGAGATCATCCGTTCACCTACTCTGCATCTCACCAAGACACAGCGGTTGGAACCAAAAATCTCAAATTTGGACTCATCAGACCAAGCAGATTTCCACCGGTCTAATGTCCATTGCTCGTGTTTCTTGGCCCAAGCAGGTCTCTTCTTCTTATTGGTGTCCTTTAGTAGTAGTTTCTTTGCAGCAATTCGACCATGAATGCCTGATTCACACAGTCTCCTCTGAACAGTTGATGTTGAGATGTGTATGTTACTTGAAGTCTGTGAAGCCTTTATTTGGGCTGTAATCTGAGGTGCAGTTAACTCTAATGAACTTATCCTCTGCAGCAGAGGTAACTCTGGGTCTTCCTTTCCTGTGGCGGTCCTCATGAGAGCCAGTTTCATCATAGCGCTTGATGGTTTTTGTGACTGCACTTGAAGAAACTTCCAAAGTTCTTGAAATGTTCCGTATTGACTGACCTTCATGTCTTAAAGTAATGATGGGCTGTTGTTTCTCTTTGCTTATTTGAGCTGTTCTTGCCATAATATGGACTTAGTCTTTTACCAAATAGGGCTATCTTCTGTATACCCCCACTACCTTGTCACAACACCACCGATTGACTCAAACGCATTAAGAAGGAAAGAAATTACACAAATTAACTTTTAAGAAGGCATTCCATGTGACTACCTCATGAAGCTGGTTGAGAGAATGCCAACAGTGTGCAAAGCTATCATCAAGGCAAAGGGTGGCTACTTTGAAGAATCTAAAATATAAAATGTATTTTGATTTGTTTAACACTTTTTTGGTTACTACATGATTTCATATGTGTTATTTCATAGTTTTGATGTCTTCACTATTATTCTACAATGTAGAAAATAGTAAAAAAACAAAACAAAAAAAACAATGGAATGAGTAGGTGTACAAACTTTTGACTGGTACTGTGTGTATATATATATATATATATATTTTACTAATCGATACTTTGAGTCAAATATCGATATAATATCTTCCAAAAAGAATAATTGGGATATGTAACCATTGATTTCTACCCCATCACTATTTCCTATCATACTCTTCCTCCTCTCTCATCACTCTCATCACTCCTCCTCCTCCTCCTACACTCTCATCACTCTCCTCCTCTTCCTCTCTCATCACTCTCTCCTCCTCCTTAAATGTTAAACAGATTCACACACATTTAGATAACAACTACCAACAGCATGTGGGATCCTAATTCTTTGAAGAAAAAAATCATCACCAGACCCACTATCAGCCTGAATCTGCCCTCATCACCAGACCCACTATCAGCCTGAATCTGCCCTCATCACCAGACCCACTATCAGCCTGAATCTCCCCTCATCACCAGACCCACTATCAGCCTGAATCTCCTCTCATCACCAGACCCACTATCAGCCTGAATATCCCCTCATCACCAGACCCACTATCAGCCTGAACCTGCCCTCATCACCAGACCCACTATCAGCCTGAATCTCCCCTCATCACCAGACCCACTATCAGCCTGAACCTGCCCTCATCACCAGACCCACTATCAGCCTGAACCTGCCCTCATCACCAGACCCACTATCAGCCTGAATCTTTGAAGAAAAATGCTTCAAGTGAATAGTGACTGGTCTTTACTTTACCAGCAGTCCCTTGTCAGACTTACAACTTAAATGGACTCTTTAATGAGCAAATATTGTCCAATCCAGGTGTGCAAAGCTCTTAAGAGACTTACCCAGAAAGACTCACAGCTGTAATCGCTGCCAAAGGTGATTCTAACATGTATTGACTCAGGGGTATGAATACTTATGTAGATTAGATATTTCTGTATTTCATTTTTCAATCAAATGTGCATTGAAATGTTTAACATGTTGTCACTTTGTCATTATGGGGTATTGTGTGCAGATGGGTGTGAAAAACATTGATTTAATCCATTTTGAATTCAGGCTGTAACAAAACAAAATGTGGAATAAGTCAAGGGGTGTGAATACTTTCTGAAGGCACTGTAGATGGCCCTAGTTGAATGTCTGCTGTGCTCAAGCTATTTATCCCACACATGGACACAGCAGCAGTCTACTGGGCTCAGGAACGTAGAGGCTAACCATTCATTTAGGCTAGTCCCCATGCTGGCACAGCAAGGCCATAGACAATGCCTGAATGCCATAAGCCACCCTTTGACAGGACCGTAGGCAGTAGACACAGAGGGTTCCTCACACTCAGGCGCTACACAGCAAACACACACAGTCTAATCAGATGATCTGTGTGCATGTCCTCTCCCAGCCCTGCCTCATATGCCTGTGTCTGAGCAGCAGTGAAGTAATGCCTTCTTATCTTGGACTGGTTTCGCCCTATGAAACACTCCCATTTGCTCTTTCACTTAAAATCGCTGGGGCTGACGGTGAGGCTGATGAGAACCCACGGCCCGTGTCACGTCGCTGACACCGGTTGGACTTGTGTGTCTGGACGCGTGTGCCAGTATGCATCTCTGAGAGAAAAATGCCACTCCACTCTGTGCCATCCAGACACTCGTGTCACTGTTTTTTTGAGTCACAATCCACTGGAGACCAAGGCAACAGAGATGTCCATACAAAAGACTGCAAGGATTTTTGCTATCCTGCCTGCAATTCAGACCTTGTCAGCTTGTATCACATCAATAATTTCTCAGTTGAAGGAAAAGCGATACCAGCAGAGATCGGGCATCCAAGAAATTATCCAGTGAGGAGCACAGCTGTGCAAAAAATGTCAAAGTCACTCTATTAGGCCAACTGTTACTTTTGCAAACGCCATTCAAAAGAAGTGAAAAGAGTGAATGAAATGTATTAAAGGCCATTTCTATCCATGTAGGCCTCTGTTCTGGATAAATGCTGACCGATATTTGTTAACTGTCCTGCATTTCAAAGTGCCAGACCAATAATGAATATTGATCCGTGTTTATAAACATCAACAACAAAATGGCAGACCTCGTGCGAGGCAAACACCACCACAGACAAACATTCAACTAATATCAGACGAGAGCAGCACGGGATTAAGATGCTCCAAAACACTGATCTGAGGTCAGTTTAGCATTCACCTCCAAATGGTTACATTTAAGCTGTGGGGATGGTAAACTGATTCTAGATCTGTGTCCAAAGGGGAACTTCAACCCAGAGCTCTGCCACTAAGCTGGTGGTGAGGTGCTCAGTGGCGGCATGAGGAGATTAAATGAACTCTGACCTGGCCAGTTTGTAAAGCGTGTGGGAGTTCCTGACGCGCGTCTCCACGCCAAAGTCCTGCGCCATCTTCAGGATGGTGGCGTCGCGCTCCGTCCCATAGGGCTCCGAGTCGTACTCGAAGGTCAGCCGGGTGACATTCCACTCCTGGAGGGGGAAAGTGGGGAGAATTTGGGGGGTGGGAGAGAGTGGGGTCTTAGATCAAAATCTATTTACATTTTGTATATGTTATCGCGAAATGCTTGTTTTTCTAGCTCCAACAGTGCAGTAATTATTGTAATTTTTTTACAATACACACATAATCCAGAAAAATATCAGAACAAGCAATGTCAGAGACCGGACTATAAATGGACAATAGGTAGTGGGGAGAACAAGTATTCGATAAATTGCCGATTTTGCAGGTTTTCCTACTTACAAATCATGTAGAGGTCTGTAATTTTTATCATAGGTACACTTCAACTGTGAGAGACGGAATCTAAAACAAAAATCCAGAAAATCACATTGTATGATTTTTAAGTAATTAATTTGCTTTTTATTGCATGACATAAGTATTTGATACATCAGAAAAGCAGAACTTAATATTTGGTACAAAAACCTTTGTTTGCAATTACAGAGATCATACGTTTCCTGTAGGTCTTGACCAGGTTTGCACACACTGCAGCAGGGATTTTGGCCCACTCCTCCATACAGACCTTCTCCAGATCCTTCAGGTTTCAGGGCTGTCACTGGGCAATATGGACTTTCAGCTCCCTCCAAAGATTTTCTATTGGGTTCAGATCTAGAGACTGGCTAGGCGACTCCAGGACCTTGAGATGCTTCTTACGGAGCCACTCCTTAGTTGCCCTGGCTGTGTGTTTCGGGTCGTTGTCATGCTGGAAGACCCAGCCACGACCCATCTTCAATGCTCTTACTGAGGGAAGGAGGTTGTTGGCAAAGATCTCGCGATACATGGCCCCATCCATCCTCCCCTAAATACGGTGCAGTCGTCCTGTCCCCTTTGCAGAAAAGCATCCCCAAAGAATGATGTTTCCACCTCCATGCTTCACGGTTGGGATGGTGTTCTTGGGGTTGTACTCATCCTTCTTCTTCCTCCAAACACGGCGAGTGGAGTTTAGACCAAAAAGCTCTATTTTTGTCTCATCAGACCACATGACCTTCTCCCATTCCTCCTCTGGATCATGCAGATGGTCATTGGCAAACTTCAGATGGGCCTGGACATGCGCTGGCTTGAGCAGGGGGACCTTGCGTGCGCTGCAGGATTTTAATCCATGACGGCGTAGTGTGTTACTAATGGTTTTCTTTGAGACTGTGGTCCCAGCTCTCTTCAGGTCATTGACCAGGTCCTGCCGTGTAGTTCTGGGCTGATCCTTCACCTTCCTCATGATCATTGATGCCCCTCGAGGTGAGATCTTGCATGGAGCCCCAGACCAAGGGTGATTGACCGTCATCTTGAACTTCTTCCATTTTCTAATAATTGCGCCAACAGTTGTTGCCTTCTCACCAAGCTGCTTGCCTATTGTCCTGTAGACCATCCCAGCCTTGTGCAGGTCTACAATTTTATCCCTGATGTCCTTACACAGCTCTCTGGTCTTGGCCATTGTGGAGAGGTTGGAGTCTGTTTGATTGAGTGTGTGGACAGATGTCTTTTATACAGGTAACGAGTTCAAACAGGTGCAGTTAATACAGGTAATGAGTGGAGAACAGGAGGGCTTCTTAAAGAAAAACTAACAGGTCTGTGAGAGCCGGAATTCTTACTGGTTGGTAGGTGATCAAATACTTATGTCATGCAATAAAATGCAAATTAATTACTTAAAAATCATACAATGTGATTTTCTGGATTTTTGTTTTAGATTCCGTCTCTCACAGTTGAAGTGTACCTATGATAAAAATTACAGACCTTTACATGCTTTGTAAGTAGGAAAACCTGCAAAATCGGCAGTGTAACAAATACTTGTTCTCCCCACTGTACATATAATGATGTGTTTTGTATGAAACATTATTAAAGTGACCAGTGTTCAATGACTAGAATACAGTATATACATATAAAGTGGGTAAAACAGTAGGTGACCAGTGTCCAATGCATATGTGCATAGGGCAGCAGTCTCTAAGGTGCAGGGTAGAGTGCCCCATGGTAGCCGGCTAGAACAGTGACTAAGGCTAGTGGTGACTGTTTAATAGTCTGATGGCCTTGAGATAGAAGTTTCTCAGTCTCTTGGTCTCAGCTTTGATGCACCCGTACACAACAGGAATGAAGTATAGTGTGTGACTCCGTAGACGAGTCGAGGCATCCAGTTACTGGTCTTGCATAATTCATGCCCCTTCAAAACTGGCCGATTACCCTACCTGAATATTCTATGCAAATATGCATTTGAAGACAATACTGGAAAACCAGCTACACTCGGAGGAACATCACCAACATTTAGCCATTCCTTAACCATTGAGTCAGTACCCCTTATCCTGACTACAGCCACAGCGGTGTCTGTCTGGGTGTCACCAGGTATTGCTTCACAGAAGGCACAAACAACTGCCTTGCGATTGAACCCATTCGGACTGACACGGTTGTGTATCGTATCAACACTAATGGCGTTGCCTAGGTGCACAGTGTGGGCAAGAAACAGTAGGGGGGTGCACATAAACAAAGAGAAAATGTACATGACTTGCCGCCCTGTGTCCTTTTATTTAGAGTTTAAAACCATTGCATCTGGGTGTCATAAGCAATCTGACATATTGAAGTGGTGTGTGAAATCTTTACCACAGCAGTTAGCGAGGCTGAAGCTCAGCGGTCATGTGCAGCGCTGCAAATGTGGAGACGGGTCTGTCTGGGAGTGCTTTTCAGTCTATCTACACATACCATGTGGTCCTCCGTAGCTCAGCTGGTAGAGCACGGCGCTTGTAACGCCAAGGTAGTGGGTTCGATCCCCGGGACCACCCATACACAAAAATGTATGCACGCATGACTGTAAGTCGCTTTGGATAAAAGCGTCTGCTAAATGGCATATTATTATTATAATACCAGATTTGTCATCCTAGCTCATTTGGTCACTCGTTTTACATCTCCTCACCTTGAAAAGTATTGGAAAGACGTCTGTGGGCTGGCCTCGTACTACGAAGAGCCTCGAATTTAGTTTCCGGAGGCTCGTGTCGAGGTCCTCCAAGGCTTCCAATAGAAATCTGCATGAGAAGGATAAGGTTACAGATGTTAACTTAACATCAGTGCAGTTATCAGTATGAGAGTTTGTTTCCCACTTACCAATGGACATTTTTATATGTTACGTTCTTCTGTACAGTTAGAATGTTCAACAATTTGTAGAAGAATGACCTAACATGACATGGGCCAACTCTGTTCTTGCCTACAAAACAAGTGCCTATGTTTTGGTGCTTGGTGTGTTGCTATATTAAAATAAGCACATGGACCAAGAAGGCTGTTTTCTGAAGTTGAATTGGTGAAAAATACACAGATATCATTATATATCCCACCAGGGGCAAATCTGGCGTTAGATCAAATCCAGACAGGAAGTATTATTTTAGCAGGTGAACTAAATCATACATTCAATAAGATTGACAGACGCATTAATAAAAAAGGCACATTTAGGGAGCCTCCAAAAGAGGCTGTAAAATGTCATCTCTACAAATATTCTACAGGACACCTGGAGATGACTATTCCCAACTACAAAATACTAGTCCTTTTTTATTTTTCAAAGTAAGAAAAGCTATTCAAGAATTGACTACATCATTATTTCCAAAAATGCACTCAACAATTTACTTGATAAAAAAAATTCATGATAAAAGTGATATCGGATCATTCTCCGGTATCATGCTTAATTACACCAATAGAAAATACACTTAGCGACAGAATTTGGAGAATAGAAGATGTGCTCTGTTCAGACCCTACATTTATTCAATATGTAAATTAAAAAATCTAAACCTTTACCATTACAAAATGTAGATAGAAGACAGAGAAGCCAACCGCCGATATAATTTGGGACGTCTTTCAGGCATACAGTGGGGGAATGATGATCTCATACTCTGCTAAAGTTAAATCTGATTAAGAAATTTAAATTAAAGAAAAATAAATCACCATCTTAGAAAAAGCCCATAAACAATCTTTAAAAAGGTAAAGAAGAAAATATCAGGAATAGGATATTTTACTTTTGAACAGAGCCAACAGCTACAGGTTCAACTCAAATAAAGCTTACTACTGGTAAATATCTCGCAGCTCTCACACAAAACCAATACATGCTAAACCAGTTATAATGTTAAAAGATAAAGATACAAAAGCGGTAATTAGAAATAAACAACGCGATTCATGAATTTTAAAAGCTTACATGAACATTTATATAAATCAGAATTAAACAGCAGTTGGACAGATCGTATAGCCTTCTTAGACTCAACAACTCTGAAGCAATTATCAGCAGAGTGTCCCATGTTGATTATAGACCCATAAGTTTAATAAATTGTGGCAATAAAATAACAAAGCTTATAAGCAATAGAATGGCAAAAGTCTTACCAGACGTGATACATATCAATCAAACAGGGCTTATAAAAACACTTACAAAGAAATACAAGAACATGTTTCAGTTTAATACAATATGCAAAAAAACAAGATATACAGTGCCTTTGGAAAGTATTCAGACCCCTTGACTTTTTCACATTGTTACGTTACAGCTTTATTCTAAAATGTGTAATTATTTTTAATCCCCATCAATCTACACGTAATACCCCATAACGACAAAGCAAAAACAGGTTTTTAGACATTTTTGCTAATTTACTAAAAATAAAAAAACTGAAATGGTACATTTACATACACTACTGTTCAAAAGTTTGGGGTCACTTAGAAATGTCCTTGTTTCCGAAAGAAATGATTTTTTTTTGTCCATTAAAATAACATAAAATTGAGCAGAAATACAGTGTAGACATTGTTAATGTTGTAAATGGCTATTGTAGCTGGAAACGGCTGATTTTTTATGGAATATCTACATACAGAGGCCCATTATCAGCAACCATCAGTCCTGTGTTCCAATGGCACTTTGTGTTTGCTAATCCAAGTTTATCATTTTAAAAAGGCTAATTGATCATTAGAAAACCCTTTTGCAATTATGTTAGCGCAGCTGAAAACTGTTGTGCTGATTAAAGAAGCAATAAACTGCCCTTCTTGAGACTAGTTAAGTATCTGGAACATCAGCAATTGCAGGTTCGATTATAGGCTCAAAATGGCCAGAAACAAAACAAATTCTTCTGAAACTCGTCAGTCTATTCTTGTTCTGAGAAATGAAGGCTATTCCATGCGAGAAACTCCCTTCACAGAACAGCGCAAACTGGCTCTAACCAGAATAGAAAGAGGAGTGGGAGGCCCCGGTGCACAACTGAGCAAGAGGACAAATACATTAGAGTGTCTAGTTTGAGAAACAGACGCCTCACAGGTCTTCAACTGGCAGCTTCATTAAATAGAACCCGCAAAACACCAGTCTCAACATCAACAGTGAAGAGGCGATTCCGGGATGCTGACCTTCTAGGCAGAGTTGTAAAGAAAACGCCATATCTCAGACTGGCCAATAAAAAGAAAAGATGAAGATGGGCAAAAGAACACAGACACTGGACAGAGGAAGACTGTGTTATGGACAGACAAATCAAAGTTTGTGGTGTTCGGATCACAAAGAAGAACATTTGTGAGACGCAGACCAAATGAAAAGATGCTGGAGGAGTGCTTGATGCCATCTGTCAAGCATGGTGGAGGCAATGTGATGGGAGATGTGTACAGGGTAGAAGGGATATTGAAGAAGGAAGGCTATCACTCCATTTTGCAACGCCATGCCATAACCTGCGGACGGCGCTTGATTGGAGCCAATTTCCTCCTACAACAGGACAATGACCCAAAGCACAGCTCCAAACTATGCAAGAACTATTTAGGGAGGAACAGTCAGCTGGTATTCTGTCTATAATGGAGTGGCCAGCACAGTCACCGGACCTCAACCCTATTGAGCTGTTGTGGGAGCAGCTTGACCTTGCATGGCACACCTGTATTTGGGGAGTTTCTCCCATTCTTCTCTGCAGATCCTCTCAAGCTCTGTCAGGTTGGATGGGGAGCGTTGTTGCACAGCTATTTTCAGGTCTCTCCAGAGATGTTCGATCGGGTTCAAGTCTGGGCTCTGGCTGGGCCACTCAAGGACATTCAGAGACTTGTCCCGAAGCCACTCCTGTGTTGTCTTGGCTGTGTGCTTAGGGTCGTTGTCCTGTTGGAAGGTGAACCTTCACCCCAGTCTGAGGTCCTGAGAGCTCTGGAGCAGGTTTTCATCAAGGATCTCCCTATACTTTGTTCCGTTCATCTTGCCCTCGATCCTGACTAGTCTCCCAGTCCCTGATGTTGAAAAACATCCCCACAGCATGATGCTGCCACCACCATGCTTCACCGAAGGGATGGTGCCAGGTTTCCACCAAACATGACGCTTGGCATTCAGGATAAAGTGTTCAATCTTGTTTCTCATGGTCTGAGAGTCTTTAGGTGCCTTTTGGCAAACTCCAAGCGGGCTGTCATGTGCCTTTTACTGAGGAGTGGCTTCCGTCTGGCCACTCTTACATAAAGGCCTGATTGGTGGAGTGCTGCAGAGATGGTTGTCCTTCTGGAAGGTTCTTCCATCTCCACAGAGGAACTCTAGCTCTGTCAGAGTGACCATCGGGTTCTTGGTCACCTCCCTGACCAAGGCCCTTCTCCCCGATTGCTCAGTTTGCGCCAGCTCTAGGATGAGTCTTGGTGGTTCCAAACTTCCTCCATTTAAGAATGATGGAGGCCACTGTGTTCTTGGGGACCTTCAATGCTGCAAACATTTTTTGGTACCCTTGCCAAGATCTGTGCCTCGACACAATCCTGTCTCGACCCTCTACGGACAATTCCTTCGACCTCATGGCTTGGTTTTTGCTCTGACATGCACTGTCAACTGTGGGACCTTATATAGACAGGGGTGTGCCTTTCCAAATCATGTCCAATCAATTGAATTTACCAAAGGTGAACTCCAAACAAGTTGTAGAAACATTTCAAGGATGATCAAAGGAAACAGGATGCACCTGAGCTCAATTTCGAGTCTCAAAGCAAAGGGTCTGAATACTTACGTAAATAAGGTATTTCTGTTTTTTATTTTTAATAAATTTGCAAAGATTTCTATAAACCTGTTTTCGCTTTGTTGTTATGGGGTATTATGTGTAGATTGCTAGGGATTTATTTGTATTTAATCCATTTTAGAATAAGGCTGTAACGTAACATGTGGAAAAAGTCAAGGGGTCTGAATACTTTCCGAAGGCACTGTAGATTTATAAATAACCGGCTGTTGATGCTGAAAAGGCTTTAGACCGTCTTGAATGGCCTTTTCTATTCAATACTTTGGAAGCTTTTAACTTAATTTTATTTATTTTTTATCATCGTGTTTGCATATTTCAAGACGTGGCATTTGGGGGTGTAGTGAGATACCCAATGGGCTGGATGATTCTCTTCTCGTCACTAGTCTTGAAAAAACATTATAAAAAACGTGGAAATCAATTAATCCGCCATCGTCAACTCAATGGAAAAATCGAATGATTTATTATTGAAATAGCATGGCCGACCGAGAAAAACAAACTGCTACAATTTAAGGCCATGTGGCAAACAATAAGGCAGGCACTAGGGATGTGGGTGTGTGCAGAGGAGATGTAGTCGCTGTTTGTGTGCGTCTGTAAATTGTTGTTCGTATGTGGATGTTTGTATTTGCTGTGAAACATTTAAATGAAAAGTCCTGGTTTTCGTTTAACTTGCTTTAATGATAACTAATAATTATACAGGTTTGATAGTTCAAAGCCATTCTACTTCCCTCGTTCTAGTAATGTCTTCATTCTTATAACAAGTATCTCGCGATATAGTTTAGTCTAACAACATTTGTGATTCAATCTAACCTTGTATTTGTAGCTATTGCAGTATATTTCACAAATGAATAAACATGTTATGTTAGCTGAATATCATTTTTAACACTTTGGTGGAAAGATACTCAGATAAAGTGTTCTTATGTGCCAGCATGTTTTTAACATCAAACGGAGATCACGTTATGCATTAGTTTGAACTAGATTTTCTGTAGGAATTTAAACTAACGAGCTAGCTGTGTCGTTGCCCATTGGAACTGTGTGTTGACGTCGTAATAGTTAGTTAACTAACAGCAACTAGCTATCCAACAAACTATTTGACAACAAGGCAAGTATTGCCTGGCTATCTTCTTGCAAGGCTAGTCAGCACTGCCAAATCAAGTCTAGTTCGTAGCTGGCATACAACAATCAGCTCTCAACCTCTTATCTAAAAATATATATACTTAGCTAGCTATATGGTCACTTACCTCCATCGATTCAGTCCAACATTAGCAGAACCAGCAAACCAAGGGTCCAAAATATAAACACAACGCACTGTGTCAGCACCGTCCAATGCTTCTTGCAACGCTGGATTATCATGCAGTCTCAAACCTTTGCGAAACCAATGGACAGAATTCACAGACATGATTGAAATAAAGACCCTTCAAAAGATAACGAAGTTTAATTTACTTATGGCGAAACTATTCTTGGCATCCACCACAGTACGTCTCAACCGAGTTGTGTGGCACATTCAACGACACTGTACATCAAGCGCTCCATCCCTCTTGTCTTCCATTGGCTGTAAAACGGCATGTGCAGGAGTATTACAGTGAGCAAGAGGTTTTTCTCTCCGTTCATTGGTTGTTCAACACGTGTAGTCTCCACCCATAGACTCGTGTCTCCACCCAATATTTTATACATACACTAGATGATTTTTAAGGGCACTGTGTTGAAGCCCCCGAGGCTCCATCTTGGCACTCCCTCACCGGTTTGAAACACATTTTGGAAGCTATAGAAATGCCTTTATTACGGTAATGTCTACGTTTGTTTGTGCCACGTTTATTCTATTAATGACACCTTCATGCATACTTTGTAATTATATTATGTGAGATAAACATACAAATAAAACATATACATATACACTACCAGTCAAAAGTTTGGACACACCTACTCATTAAAGGGTTTTTCTTTATTTTTACTATTTTCTACATTGTATAATAATAGTGAAGACATAAAATCTATGAAATAACACATATGGAATCATGTAGTAACAAAAAAAGTGTCAAACAAATCTAAATATATATTATATTTGAGATTCTTCAAATAGCCACCCTTTGCCTTGATGACAGCTTTGCACACTCTTGGCATTGACTTGCCACCCTAGTCATAGACTGTTCTCTCTGCTACCGCATGGCAAGCGGTACCGGAGCGCCAAGTCTAGGTCCAAGAGGCTCCTAAACAGCTTCTACCCCCAAGCCATAAGACTCCTGAACATCTAATCAAATGGCTACCAGACTATTTTTATTTATAGGCACATGGCGATGCAGTATGGAGCTCAATTTGGCCTCCGCATGCCTCTGGAGGTTCCTCAATTGTTCACATCATCCATAAGGCGCCTCCAACCACAATTTCGGATCAAGCATAAATGTGCTTTTATGCTTGATCCAAAATTAAAATGTTGTAGGAGGCTCCATATTGAGGGTGTGACGCAATTACGGAACCTCCGGAGGCATGTAGAGACCAACTCTAGCTCCATACCACATGCATTCGCCTCCCAAATGTTGTAACAATGTGGAGGGCTCCTGTTTAGCTCCACATTGACATGATTGGTTGAAGGTAGGTTGGGGCGGGAGTTCCTGTATAAACACAAACTCACATCCTTCACAACTTCCTTCACAACAGCTCTGCTCAGCGAAGCCCAATAAGTATGATTGCCCTGACTTCTGTAAAGGCCGTATCACCCGTAAATGCTGCACAGCCAATGCAGAGGTCGGATTGACCATGCAGGCCTATTTTGCTACAACATTTGAGAGGCACATGGCTATGTGGTATGGAGCTCAATTTGGCCTCTGCATGCCTCCAGATGCTCCACATTTGCGTCACACCATCCATACGGCGCCTCCGACCACATTTTCGGATCAAGCATAAATTGTATCTTTTAGCCGGTTTCGTTCAGTGGGTATTGCCCGCCACCGTTGATTTTGATATAAGTTAGCAACCGCATCATTGTTTTATGTAAGTTATTTACCATTTACCATTCAATCAGGGGTAAAGTCAATTTCCGATGAGGAAATCTCCGTAATAAGGACTTACAATAATGCTGACTCTGCTATAGACCTAATAATTCAATAGTCCATACAATTGTAGCCAAAAAGATGGACATAAATAAACTTGTTGCAAGCTGTTCAACATACATATTAATGTATATATTAAACCTACCTGTTGAAGTAGTTTTACCCTTTCATTTACCTGCTGCATATGTGTTCAATAATATTGTTTTATTCAGAACCCTATGCTGCGCAGGGATAATACATTATGATGCAGAACACATTGTAAGACTTGGTCAACTGAAATGTCGATAGGTTATAATCCTCGTTACAAGACATCATAAAGGCTCATGCTTATAAGAAGTTGTAAAGCATTAATATATCTGCAGGCTTTATTGTTAAAGTTTTACTGAAAAGTATAGGAGACATTGGGTACATCGTTTACAGGATATATTGTAACTATTCATCAATCTTTCACAGAATTCGTTTTTGGAATGTCAGGTCCTCTGGGTGGCTGCAGTCCACACTGTCCATTTTGTTGTTAGGAGTCATTTTTTATCCGATTACACATGAAGGGTAGAAGGGCAGAGAATACTACAAGTAAACGTTTTAGATTGAGAGACAGGTACACCACCATCAACATTCCAACATAACAACGGCTGTTGGGATTGAGAGACAGGTTCACCACCATCAACATTCCAACATAACCACGGCTGTTGGGATTGAGAGACAGGTTCACCACCATCAACATTCCAACATAACCACGGCTGTTGGGATTGAGAGACAGGTTCACCACCATCAACATTCCAACATAACCACGGCTGTTGGGATTGAGAGACAGGTTCACCACCATCAACATTCCAACATAACCACGGCTGTTGGGATTGAGAGACAGGTACACCACCATCAACATTCCATGTATAACCACGGCTGTTGGGATTGAGAGACAGGTACACCACCATCAACATTCCAACATAACCACGGCTGTTGGGATTGAGAGACAGGTTCACCACCATCAACATTCCATGTATAACCACGGCTGTTGGGATTGAGAGACAGGTTCACCACCATCAACATTCCATGTATAACCACGGCTGTTGGGATTGAGAGACAGGTTCACCACCATCAACATTCCAGTATAACCACGGATGTTGGGATTGAGAGACAGGTTCACCACCATCAACATTCCATGTATAACCACGGCTGTTGGGATTGAGAGACAGGTTCACCACCATCAACATTCCAACATAACCACGGCTGTTGGGATTGAGAGACAGGTTCACCACCATCAACATTCCAACATAACCACGGCTGTTGGGATTGAGAGACAGGTTCACCACCATCAACAACATCCAACATAACCACGGCTGTTGGGATGACCGTGAGAAAGCAAATTCAGCCAGATGGTCCTTGGACAGTACCAGTGTGAGGGACTAATGCTGCCTAGGCAACTAACTACAGCCAGATGGAACCGTCTGACAGTACCAGTGTGAGGGAGACTGAGGTATCCATTCCTTTACACTGGTTCCATCTAGTGTTAGCTTTGTGTTTAGTAGCTTCTGGACCTAGTCTTCACTGACCGATTCAAATCGGTTTTACTGTATAGGTCTGACACCATTAACTACCTCAGTTCTTTTCGGTTGACCAATCCCCTAGGAGAGGGGATTTCTGATAAGGTTTCTGCTAAGGCATAAACAAGTTAAGTATTGTTCTGTGAGTAAAAAACAACAGATTTATGCTTGATCATGAGTACAGATAAAGAACCATCTTACAAAAGAGGTGAGCAACACGTTATGAATAACAGAATTTGTCCATTTATTTTTCTAAAGTACACATATAAATCACATTCATTGAATAACTTTATATTTTCTAAAATAAATCTGTATCTTTTCTTAAAAACGGAATCCGGAGAATACCCCAGTCTATGTAGGCCAACCACCGTTTTGGAAATCCCATGTACTGTATCTTCCAACACACTACAAACCCTGAGCAAAAAAAAATATATAAAACAGACTTTGTATAAAATGGACACAGAAGCAAAACCTGAAATCTGAGAGCCCCACATTTTAGGGTCTCTCACATTACCAGCCTTGAGTCTTTTCTATGTAAATTCCTTTTCTAGTGTCCCATTTCCTTATTCTCATTGGTCTGAAATGATGACACTACAGAAGAGGACAAGCAGAGATGACTTTAGGAAAGGAGGCCGTTTTAGAGTGCAGGGTCTCACCCCAGCAGACAGGAAGGAGTTATGACATAATAATATTCTCCCGCAGGCCACTTGGCCGGTTCCCCAACATTATCTTCCTTCATGATAATGGTCCTCTGTAGCTCAATTGGTAGAGCATGGCGCTTGTAACGCCAGGGTAGTGGGTTCGATCCCCGGGACCACCCATACGTAAAAATGTATGCACACATGACTGTAAGTCGCTTTGGATAAAAGCGTCTGCTAAATGGCATATTATTATTATTATTAAAGTTTCATGACACACACAAGACATCACCAAATAAATGATCTTTCACATTCCTTCTATGATCAGTTTCTTTGAAGACAAAACACACACACACACACTGAAACAGTCATAGAACTTCTCCATCTCAGGTCATAAAACAGTTCAGATTACATCATCATTTTGTTGTCAATTATTCCAAATGCAGTGCTCCTACTGAAGCGAGAGAGAACCGGCCATCCCTTTGACGGTTTTCACTTATCACCCACAGTGTCACTGCTTCAAAGACATAACGTGACTGACACCTTAAAGCTGTTCCATCAAACCAGCACTGGCTTAATCACTTATTAACAAAGGTGAGCTATTGAAGCCTTACAGTCAGTCTCCATCGTCCATATGCAAACTGTATAACCAACACAAGAGCCCCACTTGTCATAAAACTGTCTTTCGCTGTGTCATATTGCAGTGTTGCATCACATTCCTGATGCCACATATAGGCTAACAGGAAAGTCACTTTATTTAGATACCATCCTACAGACATGGCATGTGAATAATTAACAAAATAAGTTCTGCTGTTCTGAAAGCAGAGACTAATGATTTAGGTTATACCCCACAGAATAAATCAACTGAATAACCCACTGAATAATCCACTGAATAAATCTATTGAATAATCCACTGAATAATCTAAATAAATAACAAATAAAAGGATTGGACAAAATAACCTTCCAAGGAAATTACCACCATTTTATAAAACAATAAGGGCCCATTCAGTAACAAAACAACCCTGTATCCTTCCCACACCTCTGTTTGTGCTACTGACTACAGTAACATTCATTTAGATTGACAGCCCAACTGTTCCAAAATAGCGTCGCTGTAGAAACACAACTCTGTGGTTAGGTCTTAGTGTTTACATTGTCTTCGGTCACCAGCGGGCCACCACCACCACGGCGGAAGGTCATCCTAGTCCTGCTACACCCCCGCATCGCGCTTCTCCTCCAGCAGTTTCTCTTTGTCCTCCTCCTGGGGAATCTGGACCTTCTTCATCTCCATCCCTTTGACCCAGGTGTAGGCAGAAGACCCACCAAGGACCATCAGGTTACTGGTCCACCACAGGAAACTTTTACTGGACTGGTTATAGACCACAGCGATGACCGTCTGAGCGCAGGCCTTGGCCGTCCCCGACACGTTGTGAGTCAGCGGACTCGTGAACTTGATTTGGAGGCCCGTCACGTAGCCGATGGCGAAACCGAACACGCCGCCCAGTGTCATCATGCCCCAGAACGTGGGGTCGCCCAGGCGGCTGAAATGGGCGACGTGGCCGACCTCGCCGAAGACGAGGATGAGCGGGACGAAGAGGATGCAGGCGTTGATGTTGTTGTAGAAGGAGAGCTTCCAGATGTTTCCGTCTACCGCCGGCATCGCCCGCTTAGTGAAGATGGCGTTGAGGGAGACGCAGGCGCTGGCCAGCACGCCGAAAAACACGCCAGTCCACGACAGGGAGCCCGCCACACCTTCCTGGTCCACACCCAACCAGAATCCACCTGATGGGAGGGAGAGACAAAGAAAGAAGCGTTAACATTTATAGCAATTTATCATTCATTTGCAGTTTACATTATGTTCAATATATGGCCAATACAGGTGTGGCCCATGTAGGAATGTATTATCCCGTGGTGCAATTATATAGAAGCGTGAGGTTACTTATTATAGGCTACCTGGAAGGAAAGGGGTCGTCTAACCAGCCTGTCTTGGGTATGTGCCTTAGACATGAGAACTTTCTAGAAAGTCGAAATACTTGCCTTAGGCCAGATATGGGTTAGTTATTATAACCACCTACCTAGAATGACTCCACAACACAGGATGGCGTAGAAGGACGTGGTCTGCTTGAGGATCATGTAGGAGAGTAGAACGTTGAAGACCGTGCTAAGCGACCTGCCGACAGTGTAGAAGGCCACCCCTACATGCTTTAGGCACAGGTTGTTGAAGGTTATCATTCCAATGAACACGATGGACAGGGGTAGAACCTCCCGGGATATCTTTAGATCGAACTTGACGGAGGGGAAGTCGATGACACCTGGACACAATTGGGATAGCAAGTGCATGCCATAGCACAGTCCGACAGTCACAAGGCACTGGTAAAATGTCACAAACAGCGGTGCGTCCAAATCTTTACTGTCTAGTAAGTAGTTATTTAAGAACACCATGGTTATTGAAATGAACCAATAAAGTGCCACCACACCAGCTATTTTTAAGGATCTAAGTAAAAACGTCTCGCCTTTTCCTTCATCCATGGAGTCCGAACCTGCGAGAGCCATTCTCAGGATTTTTGAGCGTTTCAGTTGCACCCTGTTCATGATTGAAATCATGGAGGAAAGATATAGATTAGGTAAAGTAAGAGAATTGCAACACTCGGCTACAAAGTAACAGTATACTGATTACCTTCGACCTATCGGATACAAACAACGAGCGCCGTCCTCCAATTACATGACAACTTCCTGGACAATATGAGGTATTCTTCTTAAAGAGACAGTGCTACATTAATCCTGTAATAAGAACCAATTCAACTTGAAGCCCGAACGCAATACGCACATGCGAGTTCAATCAGACGGACTATAGCCTAATATCGACTGAGCAATACTATCAGAATTACCGGATATGTTTATGCTATATGACACTCCTAGGATACATGTAGCATCTCATCAATAGGCCTAAATTCCGAGATCACGCTCACACACCTTTTAATTCATTATGAATTACTGCTTTCCCTATATTTGTCTCCACAATATTAAGATTCGCATCTTAATACTGCCTTACCTTAGTTGCCGTTAAAATCTTGAAAATGTTCACGAGCTGGAGACGTAACTTTTGACACTATCGCATTGCACACTAAACGAGGAAGTAAACGAATCATGCAGTATTTCTCGTCTAGTCTACTCCTCCTACAGGTCCGTGTTGAAACATCCGTTTCTTGCTTTTCCTGATTTGCCGCCTGTGTGACAGAGACACCTGTGCTACCTGTGTCTATAGCCTAGTCCAGGTATGGGGAGCTCACCTACCCAATTCTCTCTCTCTCTCCGTCATTCATGCCTCGCCCTTTGGTCATTCACTCCATCAACACACATAGGGAATTTCCAGGTTAACAAAAAGGAGAGCAGTCGCTGATAAAGTCGGTCTAATACAACAATTCAGGGAAACGCCTCCAGAACAGAATCAGAGAAAATGTCTATGCCTATTCACAATAGCACCGGATGTTCTGTAAACACCAGCCCGAGAGGCTTGTACAGAGCTTGAAGTCACAACGTCACCTGCTACAGAATCACACAGTGTCACAGATTCACAGATACGTTATCAGTGCGTCCTCGAATCCTGTCTGGCGTCAAACTTTAATAATAATAATATGCCATTTAGCAGACGCTTTTATCCAAAGCGACTTACAGTCATGTGCGCATACATTTTTACGTATGGGTGGTCCAGGGGATCGAACCCACTACCCTGGCATTACAATCGCTAGCCTCTACCAATTGAGCTACAGAGGACCAACTCTAGCTATAAACATTAAACACTGGCAGACATTTGATAAGGGCAGTTAAACAGGTCATAGGTGTGAACATCAGTAATGAGTTACAACAGATAATTATAGACTAACAAGTGACTACTTAATTAAATATGGTATCAATCCATATCCACAGTAAATCAAATACAGGAACATAATTCATCAAATGATGGCCCATTACAGCTATAAAATGATGTTTGTGCTTGCCGAAAACTATAAAGCCACAATCTCTAATATTTCCTTATTTAAAGTAGCCTAATGAAATATGATCCTTTGATTTTGAATAATGTTTTAATAAAATGTACACCACCCCCTTCCTTCAGGAGAGCGTGCGTGTCCCCTTGCTTCTCTATACCAAGTCTCTAACGTATTTCCGATTGCCTCGCGAGCTCCATACCACTTCTGAGAAGAGTGTAGAAAATTCAGAGGTAGTCTCAATAGGGACTCGAACCAGGGTCCTGCGACTGTCAACGCAGCTCCTTAGCCACTATGCCAAGAGATCCGAACCTCTTGATGAGGTCTCTAGGGGTTGTCTTATGTTCAGTACAATAGCATATACATTATTATATGACCGTTATTTAGCTTGTGAAATTTAATTATTACTATCTGGTAAAGAGGCCCTTTATCAGATTTACTCGTGGATAAAAAATTGTATGTATCTGCGTGCAGTTTGAAGGAAGTTGCTTTCTAAACTAACATATGGTGAGATGCTGTAGGAAGCTTTCAATTTGTCAGTCGCATAGCAATATGAGAAGAATGCAATTTCTGATATATATTTTTAGATATTCTAAATTAAGTGTTTTAATAACTTATAAATGTAGTAACAGGTCCATGTAGAATAAACAACCCTTTACATAATACCATAGAAGCAGTGTTCTGCTATTATAAACAATGTGCACCTTTGAACTTTCATTGTCATTCCCAGCCGATACAGATACTGTGCCTATCGACATTTTGTCTGGTGGTAATGGGGTTACCTTGGTAACATGTCAGAGTGGTCATACCTTCCTGTCTGGTGGTAATGGGGTTACCTTGGTAACATGTCAGAGTGGTCATACCTTCCTGTGTGGAGTCTGATATACAACAGGAGTTCCCTGATTCTGGTGCAGAATATACAGGGTTTCCCCCTTTGCATATTGACTGATACCATTAGATTTAATAATAAAAAAAGACAATACAAATACAAGTTGTGTCATTCAGACATCAGTATCAAGCCCGTCTGTCTGTCTGGACTTCATCACATTATCTTACAGGTCTCCATGTGCTGGCTCCATACATGTTTCTGTAAAACACATACATGCATAGTCACTGTTCTATTACCAATGGCAGTTAGGATAGGTGATATCTGACACACAAACAGATACTATGTTGAAGTTTGAACAGGTCAGATGAAACCTACCCAATTGTGGACTCCCCATTGTCGTAGTAAATATATAATGTTATAGCTTGGTCTGACTAAAATCTTGTGCATGACCCATTTTGTGTTGGGCGTTTGTTTTCAATACAATGGACAAAAGAGTCCTATCTTGTCAGCCTTGTCAGCAGGTGGCCAAGGACAACACCCACGCCATAGGTCTCTCAGTTCTTCCAACTCACAAGTTCTTGCTCTGAGGACACACACACACACACACACACACATCATCACTGATAACACACACACACACACACACACACACACACACACACACACACACACACACACACACACACATCATCACTGTTAAACACACACACACACACACACACACACACACACACACACACACATCATCACTGTTAAACACACACACACACACACACACACACACACACACACACACACACAAAAATCCCCTTCTCTTAGGCTGAACATCTGAAGACAGAGAACCCGACTCAGAGCCAATGCAACAGTGACACTGGCCTGGAAGGGACCTCGCCCAACTCATCAGGACCAATCAGAAGATCAGAACTACTAGATTCAACCTACTTCATTTTATTGCATAAAATGTCAGCACACAATGTTTCGGGGCTCTCTTCAGATAGCTCCCTAAGAGTTTGACGAACGAGTCCGTGCACGCGATTCCAGATATCTTTACCTCTGAATAAACTGCCTTATATTATACCATTATCCACCCTGTCCAAAGTCTCTACTTGGTCTCAGTTCTCCAGTAAACTTGTGATCATCAACACCATCAAACTACAGAGGCTTTAGTCTGACAAAAGCATCTCCAGGCCATCTGTAGAAATAGGCAGAGTTGAGGCAGAGTTTATCAGTGACACATTGTGGATGTGTTGAGGGTCAGGTCTCCTACCTAATTATGTTCCCCCCATCAACAAATAATTTGTCTAACTCTTCCCACATGTGAACACACAAGAGACACCCACGTCAAACCACATCACGAAACCAACTCACGTTTGAATTAAGTCATGGCAACTAGCATTTCTTAATGAACCAAATCTAAAACGAGGCCAAATCAGGAAGTGCAGTCGCTCTTTAAATATGTAGTGTCCGTGGAGCAGCGCCATGTGCTTCTCCACAACGGTAAACATTGTCAGTTCAATACAGAAACTTCACCTATAATGTGGCTTCATCACGATCCATCAGCCCCTCACACGGTATGCAATAATCCATTATGGCCAGTAGATGGGGATACAGTCATGAGATGGTTTAAAAAAAGTTGTTCTAGGATTGAAGCAATGGTCTGTTCTTTCAGCAGGGCAGTTTTTCCCAAGGTTGCTAGCGTGAAAGCTACCCCGCTGGTTTGGACAGTAAGCTTTCATTCCTTCAACAGTGAAAAGTCATGGAGCTCCCCTGCCCCTCTCCATCCAGCTCTAGAACCATGGTTAGCAACCCATCCTCTCTATCCTCTACTCCAGCACCATGGACTACACACCAACACTTAATAATAAGGGGTGAAAGGCCCACTTGTGTTTTATTATGACCTGGAATGACATGGGGAGTCATAATGATGATGTCATAATCAAGAACACAAAGTGTGTAGATGTGGGGAAGCCTGGGGTGTAGTCATTAGTCCAAACTGTTTCAAACAGTTGCATTTTGTAATGAAAACAACCGTTTATATTGGACAAATGTAGGTAGGTCCCTCCCTGTTTCGTTCTGTTTGCTTCAATTTAAGAAAAGTTTTGTAACAGTGTAATGAATACGCCCCTGGACAAAACCCTCACTCACACTATTTTCTCCTAAATGACTTGTTCATCAATAGCAGGTATCTTTCTGCTGCCAAGTGATATCAACAGTGGAATAACATTTAGTAGCTGTAACTCAGTTCAGTAAACCCTTGTTACAGTAATAACAGCCTCTTGAATTTGCCATTTTCTGGTTGCGGATTCTGTAATTGGCCACTGGAGCTTACTGTGGTTAAATAGTTCAGATGGTTTTAGATGCTATTGTAATTGTTTATATTTAGTGTAGTGGCTTATGTTCTTCCTATGATAGAGATAATCTTTACAACAACTACTAACAAACCATAACCAGACCAATGTCAACCTGTATCTATGTGGCTGTAATAAATAGGAAATGTAAGTGTCCAACATAATCCTGCTGCATTACATGTAGAACGACTGGGGAGGACGTCCAGAGCCTTCTGAATAGTTAAAGAACTCCTAACTCTTAATAGCTCTGCTCTGCTATTTGCTTCTGAAGGGATAGCTCATTCATCTTTTATGGTCTTGGTTCAGCAAGGGAGATGCGCTCCTTTCCTGCCACCCCCATATCCCTCTCTCTGATTCTCATTCTCGAGAAGAGGAGAGCTCTCCATCTAGAGAAGGGCTCTCTCGATCTCTCTGTCCTCTCTCTCTATCTCTTATATTCTCTCTCTCTCTGATTCTCTATCTCTGATTCTCTCTCTCGTCTCTCTCTACTCTCTCTCTCTCTATTCTCTCTCTCTCTGATTTATATCTCTCTCTCTCTATCTCGTCTCTCTCTCTCTCTCTCGCTCTCTCTCTCTCTATCTCTCTCTCTCTCTCTCTCTCTCTCTCTCTCTCTCTCTCTCTCTCTCCTCCGGGCCGATGTGCTTTATGTGACATCGTACGAGGCCAAAAGAACCCTGTCCTCAATTACGACGCATCGATTTTGGGCAAACTTTTGAGACACACATAGACGCAGAGAGCGGTCTCCCCTCCGGTACTCATCCTGCCAGCTCAGACACACACAGAGACACAGAGAGCGGTCTCCCCCCTGGTATATTTAACCAGTTCCTCCTACCTCTGTTCTCAGGCTTGTTTTCATCTAGATGATAGTCACCTTCCTTCCTGGAGTAAATTATTCAGCTCTTCTCCAGTGGAAAGACAGGAGTTTTATCCTCATATTTAGTAACACAGATAAACACTGAGAGCTTCCCACTGGGCACAGATGTCAGTTCAACGTCTATTCCACGTTGGTTCAACGAAAAGTGTCACGTTCATAG